CTACGCTCCCTGCAGGCAGGCAGGCCTGTCCCGCAGGCACCTCTTATTTCACCTCGGGGAGCCATTACAAGGGGTGAGAACGCCCCTAGAGCAGTGACACCCAGACTGGGGCTCCCCTGTCAGACGTGGCTCCGAAACGTGACTCCTGCAGCTGTTTGCAGCCCATGGTATTAAAACAGCATGTTATTTAATTATTAGCCAAGTTACTAACCGATCAGGATAATTTTACTGTTATAACCAACTATAGTTGATAAAATAATACTACCTGGGCAGTCATTTTGCGGTGAGACTAATCTATCTATCTATCTATCTTACATATGGATCTACATTACTATGATAAATGAAACAATGAATTCACCCCACCATGAGTCTTTTTGGTAATGGTGATTGCTAATTTGCCTCCTGCCCACTGAGTTCTGAGGCAGCATTCCCTCTAATTTTTCTACCTGTGTGCAGAATAAATGTTGTTATGTGCACTGAGGCATGTGCTGATGTGCACCACCGGGAGAAACACACGCCGTCGGCTGTGGGCACTCTGCTAATTAGCTGTGCAGCATTTGAATCTCTCCTGGGCGGCCACCCAAGCGCTCCGTTTACAGGGAACCCTGGTCTGAGGATCACTGCTCTAGGCAAGCCAACTTTTAGTGTCTTGGCCCATAGGTAAACACAAGAGCTTGGAGTGAAAGGCTTTGTGTCCCATTACCTTGTCCTGCTCTGTAGGGATGGATGGTGGTACCCAGGCCTGGACTTTCCACAGCTGCCATGTCACAGCTCCCCCAGTCCTTCTTCCTAAACCCGTGATTGGTGGTGGCCATCACCTGTTGGAAGTCCACAAGCCATCCACGGATCTTGAAGCATCAGGAGAAAGGGATTTTTTTTATTAAAGAAGGATAAAGACAAACACAACTAGAGCATAACCGGTACTGTGAAAAAAAGTCCCCATTGAGAGATTCCAGTGAGCTTCTTACACCCTTTTCAATTTCATGCCATTTGCCCTGTCTGGATCCTCTTTTCCAGGATGGAGTGTTACCAAACTCTACATTTTCTTTAAGCCACTCCCAGAAGAGTCTTCAGAAGGGCAGGACCCTGCAGGTTTGCAGTTGCTTTATACCATGCAGAGGTGCCAAGCAACCCAAGAATTGGGCGCTTGGTATAAGGATGTTCTCATGATTAAACTGACCCAGGAAAACTATATGGCAGCTGTTTACAAGGGCGGGGCTGGTTGTGACGATTTATGTAACCTATTGCTGATGAAGTTCTTAGCATAATACTGCAGCAGGGAAAGGAAGCATGGACATCTTTCCAAAGAGACACGCCAATAACATTTGTAACACATTCCCATGCTTTTCCAAATCATAAAGAGGGAGGTGACGGTATTCTGTCATGGAAATGAAAAAGGCGTTTCATGCTTTAGCACCACCAAAGCATGAGCTGTCTTGAATGTAATCCTGCCCTCTCTTACTCCAGATTGAACCCGTGTAACTCCATGGACTTCTGTGGGGGTGACTCCAGATTTACACCAGTGCAACTGAGAGCAGAGTTTGGCCCACGGCCTTCTTGAATGTTGGCAATCTCTTCTTTAGTGCTGTGTCGAGCTCTGGAGAACCGCTGCCAGGGGTCAAAAAACTGTTGGCCAAAATCTGTTTTCAGCGACACTGATGGTAAATCCAGAGGAACGTAATTGAAATTCATGGAGCTGTTTGGATTTTTCCCCACAGTTCCCTGGCAAAAGTTTAGGAAAAGACAGGCGTCTACATCTGTTGTCCTGTGTTTTCCAAGGGTACAAAAGGGCTGATTCCAAGGCAGAAGGATGTTGAAAACACTATCACGTCCCTCCTGCTATTCTGGAACAGAATTAATTTATTTCTGGATATGAAACAAATTTTCATGGCTATTTGTTACCCTTGTGTATGCACACTAGATAATGAAAATCCTGACGTTCTTCTTAGTAACTTGCTCATGTGGATCTATCCAATTCTTCCTTAAAATCTCTTGCAAAAAAGGACCTATGTACACTAATCCAGGGATGTCATAAATGAAGTGGCGGGACCATCAAAGGCCTGTGCTGGATCTAGTTGCTGTATTTCTGATTCACTGCTTGTCCGTACACAAGGACGCTGTTGTGCATGACTCATTCGTCTACCAGCAGCCCTGTGGTATTGCAGAGCCTGTTCGGTTATAATTAGTCTTCCATTTGGTACCGATGCGGATTGCTCAACAGACATTTGTATTTAATGCTAAAAAAGGCCATGTGCAAGATTCTGGATCCATAGAATTGCCCAACAAACTCGTTGTGGATAAGCAAAATGGATGACTGACCTCAGGGCTTTGATGCATACATCCCATTTCACTGCCGCATGGTTAGAGGTAGGTCTTACTTTGCAAAATCACCCGGGATCTCCCATACAAAGCCCTCTCTCTGACTTATGTTTTGATTAACCCTTTATCTTTTGGTTTGCATATTGCCCCTAAATATTTGTCACACAGGCTATGTCTAAAAACTACAAGGTTTTACGCAAAAACGGCTGGTTTTGCACAAAAACTGGCAGAGCGTCCACATCTCAAGCACATTTTTGCACAAGTAAATTGACTGAACAGATGGCTTTTGCTAGTAGAATTATTCCTCTCCCTGTGAGAAATAACTGTTTTTTGCACTACCGCTCTTGTGCAAAAAGGCAGGTGTCGATGGTCTAGAGGAGTTTTTGTGCAAGAAACCCCCACTGGAAAAAGCACAGGGTGTCCCTGCAGTATGGACACTCTCTTGTGCAAAAGCACACATTGCTTTTTCGATGCACTTTGAAGTCTGGATGTGCTTTTGCACAAGAAGTTTTTGCTCAAGAACTCTTCTGCAAAAGGCTTTTTGCGCCAAACCCCTGCAGTGTAGACAAAGCCACACTGAGGGCATGTCTACACAGGAGTGTAGGAGGAGTAAGGGAAGCCGGGGGAAGTGTGCTCTATTTCAAAATAAGTGCTGTGTAGACATTCCTGAAGTTGAAATAAGCTATTTCGACTTATGCTACGCAATTGACGTAGCTCAAGTTGAGCAGCTTATTTCAAGTTTAGCCCTGCTGGGTAGCTGTGCCCTGAACGAGCTAATGCAGAAGATCAGCTCCTACTTTTATTTTTCCATTGGGGAGAAAATAGTTACACCTAGGAATTAAATTACTGTACTGAGAAGCAATGCTTGGGGGCCAGTTATGCAGTTTGGGGGAGGGGGTTTCAGGCTTCATCTCTGCTTTGTCTTTTATTGTTAATCATCACCAACATAATTTCTATTACCACCAGCTCCTACCCTCCCCCACCCCCACTCCAAGGGTGCCAGTTCCATCCATCTTGAATCTGGAGGAGGCTGCTCCCAGGGTGGACGGGACTCCAGCCTTTACCCACCTGCTCAGCCACCACCCGCTTCCCCGGCCACCAGGAGTACCAGCTCCATCCCTGGCTTTAGGGGCCCTAGTATATAGGCACTAGCTATTTTACCTAGCAGCCATCTGTAAAGAAAATCAATTTTCATGTAACATATGCTTATATGATGGGTCTGAAGTACCATTCTGTTTCCTTTCCGGTGTTACATGTGAAATGCATCAACTCATTTAAATCAAAACCGGTGCCTACCAAGAGCCCGACTATACTTCTTATTGAAATCAATGGGCCCAATGAAGTAACAGAGAAAATGTCTGTGAATAATCGTATCCAGGAAAGAAATGCAGAGAGTCGCAACAAATCTCTCCAAAGAACACAATTAACTCACGCAACTCTGGCATCTGTTTCATGCACAACACCCGGCACCACTGAGGCACTGACCTTTGCGCCGATCCAACGGCAGTGACGCACACTTGTGCTTGGCACAGTCCATACCCAGTCTCTCTGCTTCATTATTCCCTTGGGCCGGGGTGAGGGATTGAGGGCTTTATTCCATTCTTAGGTATGCTAGAGCAGCGGAGGGGGAAACCCATGAAAACGCACTATGGCTGGCCAAGCTAGTGGTACAAAACCCGGCCAGCCAAATGCAGCAGAGGGGGCAGAAAAAAAGTCAAGCAGCACAGGAACAACGTGGCCCCCGGAAGTTGGCACTCAGGAGCCAGAACTGGCCCTGACCAGCCGGCAGTAGACACAGGTGTAGGGCAACTGCTGTGACTAGCTGCTGCTCCAATCTGTAATCTTGTTGCTGTTCCCTGGGGTGGCAAAGTCTTTAGCTCTGTTGGTATCTCCTTTTGCTGTTGTAATTTGTTGTCTGGATTGCTTCAGTGCCTGGAAGCCCAACCAAGTGCACGGAACGAGAAATAGTCCTGGCCCTGAAGCTCTGGCCATCTCTGCAAGACTGGCAAAGGGTGGGAGGGGAAACTGAGGCTTGGAGCAAAGAAAAACGACTTGCCCAAGGGTGCACAGCAGGCCAGTGGAAGGGAGGGGACTAGAATGAAGGTCTCCTGACTCCCCGGCTTATGCCTTTTAAAACAAGCATGACGTTCTTCCAATAGGCTGGGTTTGGAGTTCTCTTGCTGAGGGACTTGGGTTTCCTCGGCGTTCTCAGGCATCATTTAAAACACGTCAGACTGAATTTTCTAGCCAGTTTCTATTGTTCCCTTTCAACACCGGGCTCTGGGGCACTGTCTCTGTGGCCGTGCCGAGTGTGCAAAGATACAGCGCAGCTTCCGCCTCTGCCTGCGGTATCATTTCTCACCTGAATGCCCCCTCTCTTCTTCCAGAGCCTGCTTGCCAGCAGGTCGGAGTCTGTGGGGCTCCCAGCTGGACCAACTCGGGCAATTGCTGGGTAGGGCATTCCAGCATCCCTCCAAAAGGGCTAGATGGCTGCCCTGCCCTCTGGTTAGCAGGGCATTGCAGTGGTCCCTAGTTATCAATGCCACTGAACTGCGGCTGTGTATCCGGCAGGTCCTTGGGGACCCCCCTGGCTTCATGCCCTCACCATCGTCCCTTGCCAATTAGAACACCGAGTTCCCCCAGCAGTCACTCGGCGTTCTCCTCCCTGCTGTTTGCATTAGGCAAGACCCGAACAAAAGACAAGTACCGGGTGGTGTACACGGACCACCAGCGCCTGGAGCTGGAGAAGGAATTCCACTACAGCCGCTACATCACCATCCGGCGGAAGGCGGAGCTAGCGGCCACGCTGGGCCTCACCGAACGGCAGGTCAGTGCGGAGCTGTTCATTTGGCATGCACCGAGGCAGGCAGCCTGGGCCATTGGGCCTGGCCACACCCAGTGAGGTCAGGGGTAAAACTCCCTGGAGCAGAGTCAGGCCAATGCTGAGAGCTTTCGAACCCCCCACCCCGGGGTGAACTGACGGAACAGCAGAGAGAGTGTCCCTAGGGGAGCTGGGGAAGCTATGGAAGAGATGGGAAATGGGGCTACATAAGAACATAACAATGGCCAGACAGGGTCAGACCAAAGATCCATCTAGTCCAGTGTCCCGTCTGCCCACAATGGCCAATACCAGGTACCCCAGAGGGGGGTAACCGAACAGGGAATCATCAAGTGATCCCTCCCTTGTCGCCCATTCCCAGCCTCTGACAAACAGAGGCTACATTCACCCTCCCTGCCCAGCCTGGCTAAGCGCCATGGATGGACCTAACCTCCATGAATGTATCTAGCTCTTTTTTGAGCCCTGCTGAAGTCCTGGTCTTTTCAACCTCCTCTGGCAGGGTTAGGAGTCAGGAGCTCTCTGAGTGGGAGGGGAGGCTTATGTTCAAGTGGTGATGTTGTGCACAAAATGAAGGTTTCCCTGGCAACCCACATACCCCAGTTCCTCGTTCTTTCTACCCCTGGCATCACCTGCAGGAGAGTCTCTCTGCCTGGTGTGTGCCAGAGGAACCATAGTGGAGACAGAAAAACTAACTCGGCAAAGGACTGACGTCTCACATTGACTCCCTCCACCCTCTCCCCGTCACCTCACATGCTCGCTCCTTCTCTGGCTCCGGCCTACCTCATATTGTCTGCTTCTCTCCTGCTTTTCTCTTCTCTCTTCCTCTACCCCTTTTCCTGTCCCTTCTTCTCCCCCGCCCTTGTCCATCCCTCTCCTCTCGTCTCGTCTCCACAGGTGAAAATCTGGTTCCAGAACCGGAGAGCCAAGGAGCGGAAGGTGAACAAGAAGAAGATGCAGCAGCAGACGCAACCTACAAGCACCACCACTCCCACCCCGCCTGCCGTTGGTACCCCGGGCGCCATGGGCGGCCTCTGCAGCAGCACCACTAACCTGATCTCCTCATCCCCAATGGCAATCAAGGAAGAATTCCTGCCTTAAGGCCAGCGGGTAGGAGTACACAGACATAGGTGCCCTGCAGCGGACCGGAACCAGCCGGGCAGCTCTGGAGACGGACCTTTCCTTCACAAAAACATGACGTTGTAATGGCTGAGCTGACGTAGCCACTTCCTCTCGGTCCAGCGGAAGGATAAGCTGGCATTTCTGATGGAAGATGACCCCTCTGTGGAAGAGTCATGGACTCAGTTCTATGTATAAAAACAATAGGTTAGTTACTGTTACTCTGTGGTAGGGAAGACACACTGATCTGGCCTCAAATATTTATAATCAAATGCAAGAGGGAGCATTTGGGGGAAGGGAGAAGACAATGAGGCCCAGGGAATGGCATCGGGTGCACCGCACCTGCCCTCTTTGGGGCAATTCAAAGAAGACGGGACTAAGTACTAGACATGTACTGCAGGGACCAAGCTTCTGCATCCGTCTCCAGCCTCCCTCACACCTGTAGTTCTGGAGAGAAGGTGACAGGCCCTCTATAGAGGCTCTCCTGAAGCCAGGGTAAGGGGCACACAGGAGGCAGGCCTGAAGAGGTTAGCCAGTCGGGGACACTCCGCTAGTGCCTGGAGGGAGAACAGAAGGGGGAAGGGGACATGGGGACAAGCTAGGAAGGGTCTCTGGAGCAAGTGCATTTTTCTAAGCCTGAGGCCTGAAAGTGGGTTGCGGAGTAACCGCCATTCCAGGGAACGTGGCTGTTTTAAATAGGGTGAATTTGGTCCTTCTGTAAACAACAGGCTCTCTGCTGGGTTCTGTAAGCCCTGCACACACAAGTTCCACCAACACACTTTTGTCCTCATCTGGGCACCACCTACTGCTAGTTTAGTCCCAGGCCCCCGCTGCACAGCTCCACCGATCCTCTTTTTTCCAGTTCTGCATTTCTCCTGAAACTGTGTTCAGGTGCGCAGTGGCTGATTTGTAACCAATGTCCATAAAAAGCCAGGCTGAGACTGTCCTGCCACTTTCACCCAAAGGTGTCCTGTCCTGTCACACGTTGGGCCTCGGATAAAACCCGGGATGCTGTTTTCTGGGCAGGTCTCTTGGGCTGGTGCAGAAATGGGTGTGTCTCATAAAGAGCCATTCCAACCTCTGTCTGAGTAGGACTGGACGAGAGCCGCTTTGTATCTCCTCCAGCGTCACTCAAGCCCATCGGTGGCTGTTGGTGAATCCCATGCCTTCCTGTCCCAGCCCCATGGGGCCAAGGTAACACCCCAGTGGTATTGCCAGAGCCTTCCAGCCCAGACAGCAAGAGAGCCAGTGGGGGAAGGAAACAGGTTTTGGTGATGACACAGAGCAGCGGTTCCCAGTCGCTGGTCTGCAGACTGGTGCGGATCCGTGAACCGCTAGCTGCCGGGCCAAGGCGGCTGCTAGAGCTCAAGCCGCAGCAGCTCCGCGCCGACAGCC